CTTCTCCTTTGCCCCTCCCGTTCTCTCCTCTGCATGCATCCAGCTTAAGGTGTAAGATACGGGCTCGGATAGGTAATTTAATGAGCTGCAGAATTCCTCTCCCAGTTTGTGGGGATCCACTCGCTAATTGGATTCACTATACGGCGCCGATTCACTGTGCCGGCCGTATCTGGGCGAGCGGGCTGGCCGAGGTGCGTGGGTCATCGCGTTACAGCGGGGCACGTCGGCTCGGCCGGTGGCACTGCCAGGGGGGTCTCTGGAGGGGCGGGTTAAACCCTCCTCTCGCTCCGTCTGTATAGTTATGCAATGTCGTTTCGCTCGAACGAGACTAATTTTTATTTTTTTTTGTCATTATAAAGCCCGGTTTGATGCTGGATCCACGCTATACTACCTTCCACTGACTTCCACAATCACAGAAAAAAATTAGTAACTTCCCAATTCTTTGCGGAAAGGCCGCCGCCGGCTGTTAGGCCTCTCGATGTCCGATCTGGTGCAATAAACATTCGTAGTCGCGGACGTTAAAGCTCTGGGAACGTACTCGGGAAAAGGGTTACTCCCGCCACGGGGCCGGGCCGGGGGGCTGCTGCTGCTGCTTCGATAGGCGAATGTGCGTAGCGTACCCGCCGCGTGGTCCCGGCGGCCGGCGCGTCGACCCTTCTCCTCTCTCCCTTTCCCTTCTCTCCTCTCGGGCAGACGCGGCGCGGAGGCCCCCAAAGGCGAGCGAACGGAAACCAGACGGAAACATTGCTTTTCTGCATTCTACAGCCTCGAAGCGCGCCGGAGTCGAGTCGAGTCGAGTCGAGTCTCTTATGGAGATGAAACATGCGTGAAAACAGCGTGCTAAATAGGTATTTCCTTTCGCACACCTTTCACCCAAGTACTGCCCCCCCACCCCCTCCCCGGTTCATACCTCTGGGCGCCGCCCCGCTCCGGGTGTTTATCCTAGTTAAAGGGAGAGAAAAACTAACACGGCGGGGGTCCCCCGGCCGTCCCGGCCCAGCGCGCAGGTTGGCAGCTGGGCATCCGGTGCGCCCGGCGGCGCCGGCGCCCGCGGAGCCGGAAGTAGAGGCCGCACCGACCCGACACCGACCGATCGAAATTTTGGCAGCAAGTCTTCATCACGGCTGGGCACGGGGGCCGCGGCCCGGCCCGCGCGGGGCGGCCCCTGGGCCGGGAGCAGTGGAGCGCAGAGTGGACGGCGGAGATGAGGATGAGGATGAGGATGAGGATGGATGTGGTCCGGCCGGTCCAGCTGCCGGGGCCGACGCACGATTGGAGTTCATTGGGACGGTCAGCCGCGGCCCTCGGAGCACCGCCCCCTGTAAGCAGCGTCGTTCCATGTAACTTCAGGCTGGCTGAAAATGCATTGACATGAGTCGGTGCCCGAAGTGAAATCCAGTTCGAAATATGTGCCCAGCAGTGATATTGCTCGAGGGTAGTACGAGAAGGATAGAGAGAGAACGAGCGAGCGTACGGGTGCCAAGGCGTCGGGCCGGGGCGGGAGCGCGGTCGTGCGCCAGGCACTGCAGGTACTCCGACGCGAACCTGAGCGCGCGCGCGGGGGTTTCTCTCTCGACCAGTAGATCAATTTCGCCCCGCGCGCGATTTCAAATTGACTCTATATCGGCGAGAGGTAGGCCTAGGAGGGCAATACAGAGAGGAGGTGGTGAAGGGGTTGGGAGGAGCAGTTTCGCACTCTGCTCCATCGCCGTGTGAGGCAAGCGAGGTGTTGCCGGACCGCTTAGGGAGAGGGGTGAGGGGGGGGGGGCAAATCCGTTTTAGGCGCGTTTGGTGCAAGTGCGCTCACCGCGCCGGGCATAGCCGTGGGCGGGGGCGTTCAGTTAGCGAGCGGCAGTCTGTCCTCGTCGCGCCCCTCATTTGAATGAAGCGCGCGCTGCGTGAGTGCGAGCGAGTGAGAGAGAGACGGGCCGCCCGCCCTGAACGCGCATCTGCTGTAGCAATATCTCGGGAGAAGATCTGGTGCGGTTTAGAACTAGGAGCTTCAAGTCTCGCAAGTCTCGGCGGCGCCTTCTGGTCGGGCTGGCCAGACCAGACCGCTGTGCAGAGCCGATGAAAGTGTTCCCGCTAAGCGTTGCGCGTAATGTGTTTTATGTGTAATGTGTACGCAATCTTTTTGGCACCCAGCTCTGCAACGGGGGCTCGGTCACCGACCTGGTGCAGGGCCTCAAGCAGCGGGGGGCGCGCCTGTCGGACGACCAGATCGCCTTCATCCTGCGCGAGACGGTCGAGGTGAGTGATCGCGAGTGCACCGGATGCAGAGATGCAGAATCCAGCTCCTCAAAGTGCCAACTACTGCTCTCCGCACTTCCGGCAGCTCAAATACATCGGAAATAACTTCTTTTTTTATGACCCTATGAATGTATTTCTCCAGGCGCTCGTCTACCTGCACGCCAACCACTGCATGCACCGCGACGTAAAGGGCCACAACATCCTGCTCACGGAGGAGGGCAACGTCAAGCTGGTCGACTTTGGCGTGTCGTCGCATCTGCAGGCCACCCTGGGCCGCAGGAACACCTCCGTGGGCACACCCTACTGGATGGCGCCCGAGGTGATCGCCTGCGAGCAGCAGCTCGACTCGTCGTACGACTGCCGCTGCGACGTCTGGTCGGTGGGCATCACGGCCATCGAGCTGGCCGAGGGTGAGCCGCCGCTCAGCGACCTGCACCCCATGCGCGCGCTCTTCCAAATACCGCGCAACCCGCCGCCCCAGGTGAGAAAAGAAGAATGCGCGTCTAGGGTTGGAAGCCCTGGAAAGTTTCCGGGAAATCTCCGGAAAAACGGGAAATTTCCCAGATCTTGGAAGTTTTCCGGAAATTTTCCAATCTAATGCGCGTTGAAGTGTGCTCTAGATTTTCAATCCAATGAAAGGCTTTAGAAACTGATTTACAAATCCCCCCCCCC